TGTATGTATGTATGTGTGTAAACAATTCAGTACATACACTGTTTGTAGCAACTAATAAAGAGATAGACATAAATATACATAAAAGGTACAGATAGAAGTAAGTATGAGTGTAACTTTAACCATACATGCACATATAAAAATGAATTAAATAAATGAATACATATACATAGAAATCTGTATGTATATATATATACATATACATATATATATATATATGAATATGTGTGGGTATATACACATACATACACATGTTGTAACACCTCGAGGCAGCCCAGGAAGGACGCGGAAAGCAGCAGCTCTTCGAATCTCTGCCGGTAGAAGCTCCTAGCGGGTCCGAGACTGAGATGCCCTGGAAAAAGCAAAGTTAAGCAAGATTTAGGGCTTAGGCTCTAAGGTTAGGGTTTAGGGTTTAGGGTTTAGGGACTCTAGGTTTGAGGTTTAGGGTTGAGGGTTTTGGGGCTGCTCCTGTCCGTCCGTCTTCTCACCATGGTGCCGGCTGGCCGATTTAGGCCATGGAGAACCAGGCCAAGGAGAACCAGGGTGGTGAGGAAGAGCAGGTACGCGAGAAAGCCGGGGAGGAGGTCCGGATTGCGCCGAATTTTGGTCAAAACCAGACAGTGTCCCAATCCACCAGTGCATTCCAGATTATCCTGTCGCCAGGTCGTTATCGTCGAAGGAGAGTTCAGCTGGTTTGCGGCGTGGATGATGATGTTCTGGCTGGTGGTGTGCATTTGCTCATTGGCTGGATCCTGGTTTAGAGCACTGTCACGGCACCATCGTCAGATGCGAATAGCATGAACTGACAGTCCCTATATAGGCTAAACTATAGCAGACTATAGCATAGATCACGACCCCATTCAACTTATTATTATTGCGCCTCCTTATGGCTTTTTTGGAGCACAGGTTCTGTGACCATGGGTGTGCTGACCTTCCAGGCCCAGGGGACGCCGGATAAGGACACACACACACACACACACGCGCACGCACGCACAATGGAGTTTCTGAAGCTACGAAGCCCTGAAATCCGAAGCATACTTAACGCTGACGCTCTAAGCAGTAGGACGCTCAATAGGAGCACCCGTCGCTTGAATTTGAAGAAGCCCTCCGAATGGACAAGTCATGCACCCGCGCAAGAGTCTGAGCTGGATACGTCGGTCCTGCAGGGCGATGGAATCGAGCGGATCTCCGAGGAGATCTCCTTCGTCCGGCAGCAAAAGCCGCCCTATGGACCCGCAGAGCAGCCCAACATGGCCTCAATGAGAGAGATCAATGAGCCTTTCAGCCGCTCTGCTCCGAACCCTAAAGCCCACTTTAGGGTTTAGGGTTTAGGGTTAAAAGAAACCCAAAAGCCCATGAAATGCTTCCTGAGGGTATCACCTGCCGCAAGTCGCCTTGTACTACTCTGTTGCAGCAGCTTCGCTGGGGCTTTTCACCGCCTCGCTTCCGCACCAAGAGTCCCACACTTTCCGTGTTTGTAGCTGCTAGAATTACTATTGTTAGGAGTAGTCGTAGTACTGTTATCATCATTCTCTTTGCTATTGCTAGTGCTAGTACTACGTACTAAGTACTAGTACTAGTACTAGCCCTATTACTATTACTATTACTATTTACTATTCACTTTACATGTGACCGTGATAAATGTATTTCTACTCGTACTATTATTAGTACTCGTATCATAATATGATTACTGTGTGTTGCTGGGGGGCGTTCGGTGTCTGAGGTAAGCTTCTTTGCAAACTCGATGCTGCTGGAGACCCAAGGGATTTCTCGAAATGTGCCTTGACATTGCAAACAGCACCGGCATGCATAATCAATAGTCCAATGATGTCCCTTCTACACTTCTGACTGCCTTGTAAGGTGGACATCAACATGCTGATCAA